GAACGAATATGAATGAAGCTTCCATAAGAAAGAAAAAAAAAAAGAAAGGAAAAGAAAAACAGAGAGAATAAGCTTTGTTCTTGCTTTCATCTTCAAAGCATATACATTTAAGGCAAGGACTAGAGAGCAGATAAGCTACAGATATCGTTGCTAAGCTTCCGTTATTGACACTGGTGTTAAAGGTCAAGATAAGTTTCAAATGAAACTGAGGGCATCGGCTGATCTCAGTGACGCAATTAAAAGCGGCTCGATGTTCTGTGTAAGGTTAGCACCGAACCTGTCGCTGTTGTATGGGAACTCCCTTACATCGACAGATTCCAATAAAATAAAAGTATGTAATATAGAAAAGACTGTCTCTTTGGTCTAGTGGTCAGAGTTCCCGGCTACAGAGCTAGAGGTTCCGGGTTCGATTCCTGGTGCTACCAGATTTTCTGAGAAGTAGTGGGTCTGGAACGGGGTTCACTCAACCTCGTGAAGATAATTGAGGAGATATTTCAAGGAAATAGCGGCTCCGGTCTAGAAATCCGAGATTAACGGCCGTGGAGATCCGTTGCGTTGATCACGCGACATCCTCTATCCGCAAAAGTTGTTACTAACTTCGCCTACAAGTGGCGGTCGCTCGTTCGGTATAGTTCGCTTGCGGACTTAAAAGGCCATGGAGTTTTATTTTATATACGTAATATTTTCAGCACGACTTTCAACGTAGTTACTTAATTAAGCTGATCAAAATAAAATGTAGAACACTACACCGTGGACTATGTCATTTCCTGTCTTTAATTTTGGTACATATTTTCGGGCAAAATTAATCGCTATTCAGTTTATAAACCTGTCAGATTACGTGTACCAACTAAGAAAAGAAAAAGGGTACACTTTGTGCTGGATTTGAGGTTCTCACAGCAGTGACTAAATATACCATCTTCTGGGATGTATTGTGGCGTGTCTTGTCGGAGAAATGTATTATTTCCATCCTCAGGTTGGAATACCAAGCCAAGACAACAAGAAGCAGCTGGCAAGCGAAGACCAATGGCCTCGTTCTTGCTTCTTACTTGCGTTGCTTACCCTTCAACCCAGAAGATAGGTTTAGTATGTTCCTTCGAATTTACAGTGGACTTCTACAGGGTTACACTGCTTTACATCCCAGAAGATGTCACTCTAAGGTAAGCAGAGTGACCCAAAAGTCAGTTAACCTAAAATATTCTCTCACATTAACGGGAATGTTCAGGTTTAAACCTGCTAGCCAGTTTATAGAACGGTATCACAACATTGCGAGTTGTGGATTAGACACGGAGGATCTCATTTCGAGCAATTTTTCGTGAATTCAGTGGGAAACGAATACATTTCTAATGTATTTTAGTGTGTACCATACTGAGCAGTTAACTGACTTTTGGGTCACCTGTGTTTTAACTTCAGCACAAAATAAATTACCGCCATGTGCTGCCCATCTTCCAGGTTTTCTGCACCTACAGTATCATCTGTTACCCATTCCCAATTCTAGCAGTAAAATTATTTCCCTTGGGAACATATTGTCCACTAAAATTCAGCCAAATATTAATGTTTCTGGACCGAAGAGAGATGAAGTGAGAGGAGGTTGGAGACAACTGCATAATGAGGAGCTTCATAACTTGTACTCTTCTCCAAGTATAATTAGAATGATCAAGTCAAGGAGGATGAGGTGGGCAGGGCATGTAGCAGGAATGGGGGAGAAGAGGAATGTAAATAGGATATTGGTGGGAGAGCCAGAAGGAAAGAGACCACTGGGAAGACCATGGCATAGGTGAGTGGACAGTATTAAAATGGATCTTAGAGAGATAGGATGGGATGGTGTGGATTGGATTGATCTGGCTCACGATAGGGACTAGTGGAGGGCTCTTGTGAACACTGTGATGAACCTTCAGATTCCATAAAATGCTGGGAAGTTCTTGAGTAGCTGCAGATTTGGCGGCTCCTCAAGAAGGGCTCAGCTCCATGAAGTTAATTTAGTTACTTATGTCATGACCAGTGTGCTTACTCCAATCTCCTGAAGCCGAAGGGGTCCCGCTATTTGGCGGCCAAAAATTATTGCCTTACATACTGTATTTACGCATGTATATGCCGCACATTTTTTGCAAAAAATTCAAGAGGAAAACTGGGGTGCGGCTTATATTCGAAATCACACTTCATTAAAAAAAAATATATTCATAATTAGTAATACAGAGTGTTCTACTCCTGAAAGAATATTCCAAGAAAATTATTTTTTCTATAATTTCTGTCTGAAAATTGTGCTGCGGCCTATACACGCACGCGGCCTATACATGCGTAAATACGGTATTTGGTTTACACTGCAAAGTTTGTTTCTTCCTTTGTCGGTCATTTTACTAACCTGGTTTACCCAATTTTGCCTATACTTATTTATTTAATTTTTTACTGATTGCATTTTCAGTCATTTTCTATGTATTACTTTCATTCTTACTATGATCTAGTCTAATGTAACCTTCAACTATTCGTAAGACCATCTTTTCTACTCTTTATTCGATTTGTGCTTCCTGCTTTAATTGTCCAATATTCACTTCCCTGCAAATTGCAGTTTCCTTTATTTCCTTGTTTAGTCTTCAAGTTCTGATTAAGACACCTCTCATACAATCAAAACTATCCAATTTGTTACTCGTTTGTATAATGCATATGTTGCATATTTTCAACCTAGCTCAGCGGCATAGCAGTATCTTTACAGACTCATTTTCGGGAGGTGCTGAGTTCGAATATCAGCAGGGCTATTCTGATTGAATATCCCCTTGATTTAATTCTCTGTCCCTCCAGGCAGGTGCCAGGGTACCAAGTTCGTTCCTTTCTTAATTCATAATTAATGTACAATTATAACGTTTGACAATCGGTTATGACTACTGACAACATCGTACAACAACCAACAACAAAAAATTTTTATAATGTAAAAATTAAATCTATCCCTGTAACACGCCGTGAAGGCCCATAAGGTTTTGAGACGTCGAGATTCCAACATTTTCTAGACAATTGGCTCACAGATGGCGATGTGTTTGTCAGCCTTACGCGCCGGCCGCTCTTTACCCCCAGGAAGATTCCTGGTACTCATTTCTGTTGGAATGAGTCGACACCAGGGCCATAGTGCGGCTGGAAGGATTAGGTCAAATGAAAAATCCAACGACCCCGTTGGGAATGGAACCCGCGGCCTTCCGGCTTATAGCATAGTGCCTCAACCAAATAAGCTGCCTCGTGCCCCTTACTATTCATTATATGGGGATAAATTTTATACTCGAAATTCGGTAAGCTTATGCTTCTATATTTTCACTGTTAATGCCGTCATCCTGAATTATACTGAATGTTACACAAGTAACTGAAATTCAGAAAGTTTTATTTACAGGTGTTGTGAACTCATTCTGCTTATGAAGCGTGGTTTGATAAAACGGATATCATATCAGTGCATTTTTTCTTGTTACCAAATAAGTAACATATGCATGAGTGTTTGTGTGGGAGGGGGAAGTAATTCTTTATTAATCTATCGGCAGTTTTACTGGATTCAATTTGGCGCGGGGGACTTCGGATTTTTACTTGGAAAGTCATTTTTCCTACGTTATATGTTGTTCGATCACAGTGGCCGCGCAGTCTAAAGCATTAACCGTCTTCTCCCGCTCAAACACTGGGATCGTGGGTTCGATTCCCACTCAAGCCATGTATGTTTGTGTGTGCGTTTATTCTGTGTCTGTGTTGTTCTGTGTGTATGTAGCGGACTTGCGATGGACTGGTATACCCCGTCCAAAGAGTCCTACCGACTGTGTATAGATTAAGAAACTGAAAAAGCGGCCAAGGTCCACAAGGGCCGCAGAGTAATAGACAGATTAAAGACATAGATAGATAGATAGGTAGGTAGGTAGGTAGGTAGGCAGATGGATAGATAGGTAGGTAGGTAGGTAGGTAGGTAGATAGATGGATAGGTAGGTAGGTAGGTAGGCAGGCAGATGGATAGATCGATGGATAGGTAGGTAGGCAGGTAGATGGATAGATAGATAGAGAGGTAGGTAGGTAGGTAGGTAGGTAGATGGTTAGATGGATGGATGGATGGATAGGTAGATAAGTAGGTAGATGGATAGATAGATATGTAGGTAAGTAGGTAGGTAGATGGATAGATAGGTAGGTAGATATGTAGGTAGGAAGGCAGGTAGGTAGATAGATGGGTGGGTAGGTACGTAGGTAGGTAGGCAGGTAGGCAGATGAATAGATAGATAGGTAGGTGGGTAGGTAGGCGGGAAAGCAGATGGATAGATAGGTGTGCAGGTAGGTAGGCAGATGGATAGGTAGGTAGGTAGGTAGGTAGATGGATAGATAGATAGAGAGGTAGGTAGGTAGGTAGGTAGGTAGGCAGATGGTTGGATGGATGGATGGATGGATGGATAGGTAGATAAGTAGGTAGATGGATAGATAGATATGTAGGTAAGTAGGTAGGTAGATGGATAGATAGATAGGTAGATATGTAGGTAGGTAGGCAGGAAGGCAGGTAGGTAGATAGATGGGTAGGTAGTTAGATAGGTAGGTAGGTAGGCAGGCAGATGAATAGATAGATAGGTAGGTGGGTAGGTAGGCGGGAAGGCAGATGGATAGATAGGTAGGCAGGTAGGTAGGCAGATGGATAGATAGGTAGGTAGATAGAGAGGTAGGTAGGGAGGCAGGCAGATGGATAGATGGATAGAAAGATAGAGAGGTAGGTAGATATGTAGGTAGGTAGGCAGGAAGGCAGATGGATAGATAGGTAGGCAGGTAGGTAGGCAGATGGATAGATAGGTAGGTAGATAGAGAGGTAGGTAGGGAGGCAGGCAGATGGATAGATGGATAGAAAGATAGAGAGGTAGACGTAGATGTTAAGTTTGTTGTGTGCTATTTGTGATTTTAAATTTTAATTTATGTTCTCTACTGCCCTGGACGTGCTTGCCTGTTATAGCTCCCACAGTTGCTAAGCTGTTCAATAAAAGAATGGCAATCGCACGCCCAGAACTTGCCTGCAGCTCAGCTCTTCACGACAAACTTCCGCCAGTGAATGACACGTGGGCATTGATGGGCCTTCCACGCGCTGGGCGCAAACTGGGTGTAGTTTCTCCTGTGCCACGAGGCATTCATCCTGTTTGTTCTCGGTTTTCCTAAAAACAGAATTTCAGAATTAGCCATTATGAATTATACAGACATCAGTGTGTGAAACTTGGTCTCTGACATTAAGGGAGGAACACAGACTGAGGGTGTTTGAGAACAGGGTGTTGAGGAGAATATTTGGACCAAAGAGAGATGAAGTGACAGGAGGTTAGAGAAACCTACATAATGAGGAACTTCATAACTTGTACTCTTCTCCATGTATAATTAGAATGATCAAGTCCAGGAGGATGAGGTGTGCAGGTCATGTAGCACGAATGGGGGAGACGAGGAATGCGTATAGGATATTGGTGGGAAAGCCAGAAGGAAAGAGACCACAGGGAAGACCAAGGCGTAGGTGGGTGAACAATATTAGAATGGATCTTAGAGAGATAGGATGGAATGGTATGGATTGGATAGATCTGGCTCAGGATAGGAACCAGTGGAGGGCTCTTGTGACCACGGTACTGAACCTTCGGCTTGGAGCGCAATAACACAATAGCTATTGCATAGTCTACCAAGGTTCAACGTATCATGAGGAAACAGCACAGAAATTTAGAATCTTATTTCTATAGACCTAGCAAGTCTAAGGGATCAGGATACAGTGCACATCTTTGACAGACATAGCTACTGTTCTGAGGCTGTACACGATGCTATTCGTTATTCTCAAGAAGAAAGTTTTTAGATCAAGCCTGGAATAACCAGTTTAAGGCAACCTACACACTTTGGAACTAAGTGGAATATATACTTCACAAATCCTCACAAAATGAGTTTCGTAAATAAAACTTTCAATATATAATTTCCTTTTTTCCATTCAGTTTAAAGCCTTCAAGACGCGCAAAACAATATGAAACGTCCCTGATTTTTTCAAGCTGTAATATTTTGAGATGAGGAGTAATACATATGTACAGAAGATTCAATGAGTAACTCGTGCCAAGTTAAAAGACAATCTGTCAGCTGCCAGTGAAAGCTTCAGGATAACCAAGATATGCCTATCTATTCCTCTATCTAATCTATCTATCTCTCTATCTATCTATCTATCTATCTATCTATCTATCTGTCTATCTCTCTGTCTGTCTTTCTATCTGTCTGTCTGCCTTTCTATATGTCTGTCTATCTACAGTCCTTTGTTGGACCTTGGTCGCTTTTTCGGTATCTTAATAAATACACAGTCCGTAGGACTCCTTGGACGGGGGATCAGGCCGTCACAAGGCCCTTACCTACACACAGAACAACACAAACACAGGCATCCATGACTTGGGCTCGACTCAAACCAACGATCCCAGCGTTCGAGCGAGCGAAGACGGTTCATGCCTTAGACGCCTTAGACCGCGCGCCCACTGTGATCGGCTAACAAACGACTGTACAACTACTATAACAAAAGAATATTAAGGTATTCCCTTTAAATACGAGGGTTAATTCGCAGCCAGTAATTAAATATATCGATTCTGGTATCTGGATTATATTTGACGATTTTCTTGAAGTCCTTCCAAGAGAATTACTTACTTACTTACTCATGGAGCTGAGCCCTTCTTGAGGAGCCGCCAATTCTGCAACTACTCAAGAATGTCCCAGCATTTTATGGAACCCGAAGGTTCATTAACGTGTTCACAAGAGCCCTCCACTGGTCCCTATCCTGAGCCAGATCTATCCAATCCATACCATCCCATCCTATCTCTCTAAGATCCAATCTAATATTGTCCACCCACCTATGCCTTGGTCTTCCCTGTGGTCTCTTTCCTTCCGGATTTCCCACCAATATCCTATACGCATTCCTCGTCTCCCCCATTCGTGCTACATGACCTGCTCACCTCATCGTCCTTGACTTCATCATTCTAATTATACTTGGAGAAGAGTACAAGAGAATTACATGGAACATATTTAAGAGCATCATAACCTCTAGTCTATAACTTGGGACATAGGCCGAATAGGTGGAACAGTTTACCCTCCAGTATGCAAAGGGCATGCGCAACGGTTGTAGTGTGACAGGAAACGTAAAGTAAAGAATTTACAGTAACTAACTGTACACAAAACCTAGTTACAACAAGTGTGAAAACCTTCCTTTGTACTTAATACTGTCACGTGAATTTAATCCTAATAATAAGCACAAACTCAATGGAACGGAATCGACATTAAGATGTTAATGATCCTTTATCAGAGCAAGAAATTCGTTACTCTAAGGAATTCCTACTTCGTCCTGTGTTTACGGAATCCTGTGACTGGTATTTATCCTAATCATTATTATATGTGTGATCGAACAACCCCCGTCTCTCCTTAAGTCTAACATTCTTAAGAGCTTGAGAAAGGTCAAAAGAAAAAAAAATGCTCATTCATAACTTATCAGAATAAAATACTTGGTTAATATTTTAGCAGATAATACAAACTAAGCCATTTTACTAATAAATTTCATAGGGTGTTCTTCATTGTATTTACTGTGTGCTAGTGTGTCCTTTGTTGTTTGTGTAGTCTTTGTGTGCTGTGTTTTGTTTGAGTGTGGTGTGTTATTTTGTGTATTGTGTCTTATTGTAGTACCACTGCCACCGGGCAAAAATCAATTTGAAGTTTAAATAAATAATAATTACGTCATGGTCCTCATGTTTCTGCTTGGCCGAATTCACAGGGTTCGAATCTCAGTCGCTATCCTTTTACCCTGACTGATTTTTTCCGTGGTTTTCCCCAAATCCTTTAGGAAATATTAGAATATACCTTAAAAGTTGGACAGGACGCTTTAATCCACAATTATCCAATTCGCCAGTTACAGATCATAGTATATTAGACGCTAGGCAGTCTGAAGAGCTGGAAAAGCATTTTTAAATGAACTAAGATTCAAGGAAACTAATTACGAAGGCCAAGAAAATGTTATACAACTGTACTTCGGGCGCAGAAATTAAAAGTTGTAACAACAGACCAAGAAGGAAAACAGATTAGTTGGTAATTTAATTACCTATGTGATAATTCGGCCGGTCACGGTAGCCAAGCGGTCTAAGGCATGCACTGTCTTCGCTAGCTTGGAAACCGGGATCGTGGGATCGGATCTGTTTCCTGTGAGGTACGAACTGAATGCTTATATATTATTCTTATACCCTGCTGGTCACGGTAGCCAAGCGGTCTAAGGCATGCACTGTCTTCGCTAGCTTGGAAACCGGGATCGTGGGTTCGAATCCCACTCAGGGCATGGATGTTTAGTTTGTGTCTGTGCGTTTTTCTGTGTTTGTGTACAGGTAGAGGCCTTGCGACGAGCTGATCACCCGCCCAAGGAGGCCTACCGAATATGTAAGATCTAGAAAACCCGAAGTGAACGGAGAAGTTCATGGAGATAGGCCTAGGCCCACTGGGGCTGTAGTACCAAGGAAAAAATAATGTGATAATTCATGTTCTAATAATATTAAGAGGAGAAGTGAAATTTCTGAAATTCCGTAGACTTCAACGAACAACAATTTTTCGACAGTTCCCTCCTTAGTGTAGTTAACCTCCGGGGATTACGTTTAGGGACTGAGGTCTAGTCAATCAGTACGCATGCTCTCTCAGGGCGTATAAACGGGCTTGGATAGCACCGTAAACAACGGTCTCGAGTTGTTAATGTAAAGTGTATATGATTAATTGATGGATAAAGAAGGTAAGGAAAATAGAACAGTGGAGACTGGTTGTAGAGCAGGCCAAGGCTCACCCAGAGCTGTAGCGCTGTGTGGTAGGTAAGCATGCATATAATTAATTAGTTACGAATAAATCACACCTAGAAAGATTCACAATTTGTCGTTGGTGAATATTTATTTGGATAATAAAGGAACACTGCTGTATTAACTATTAACCCTCCAAGTCGATACGGTTATTACGAAACGTCAGGATAATCTTGACTCGAACTGAATTCCTTGATTCAGAATAAGGGTCAGCGTTTACATAAAGCATTTCACCCACCGTTCTTAAAGTAATTGGAAGAGGTTAGGTTCTCCTTCAGATCGGAGCCAGTGACCAGGACCGCTGCACGCATGCGTACGAAGCAATGTTCTGTACTGAACACACGGCTGCTTCTAAGTCCAGCACCCATGTCCCTTTGCTATGATTTCCCCTAGGAATCTCTTTGGGGGTTCATCTGAAGGATATAAGGGTGGCGTGGAGCAGAGGGTGATTGTTTCTTCCCCCTGTGTTGCTCAGCTTTCCTCATAGCGATAATCTGGTAGCACTCGAAAACAGGTCATAAACGCCAAGCGAGAAAAAAATGTCTCTAGTCCCGAACTAGAGCAGTTTATGGCCCGCAACCTGATTCTAAAGAACAAGCGATTCACGAAGTATCGGTTTACTTCTAATCATTCTTAAATCTCGATCAAAATAAGACTCCGTGGTTTTAGTCCACAAGCGAACTATATGGACCGAGCGACCGCCACTTGTCGGCGAAGTTTAGTGTCAACTTTTGCGGATAGAGGGTGTCACGTGGTCAGCGCAACGAATCCCCACAGCCGTTAATTTCGGTTCTCTAGACCGGAACCGTTATTTTCTTGAAATAGCTCCTCAATTATCATCACGAGGCTCAGTGGACCCCATTCCAGACCCATTACTTCTCAGAAAATCTGGTAGAGCCGGGAATCGAACCCTGACCTCTGGATCTGTAGCCAGAAACGCTGACCACTAGACCACATAGGCGATCGTTGAAAATAAGTATGGGAAGTGTATTCTAAAAGATTCAACTTGGGTTCGAAACAAGGAAAGGATTCATAAGAATGGTGGGTGAAATTCTAATACGAAAGTGTAAACATTACATAATATTAAAACTCACATGGTTCGATTTATTTGCCTCAGTGACGGTTAAAATATGCTCAAGTCATTACCCAAGAAATATTATGCAGAGTTAAAACTTAGCTGAAGCGCTTTAACCTACCGCAAGGCCGTGAGTATTTTTATTGCTAGTGGGATGGGACTAAATCCCCTGTATTGCGGCCACTTCTGGCCTATTGTACCAGCCCAGATGATAGGTGAGGGTGATTGTGGAGCAATTGGTGGAATGAAGATTGGTAGGGGA